GAAGCTTGAAATCACATCGAAACCACCAAATTCACAGCGGCCGTTCACTAATTTGCTTGTTTGCTTTCTTCGATACCTCAATCTGTGTATATATTGATTCTTTTACAGGACTTCGACGCCCAGAAGAAGCCTCTTCCTGTCAGATTCTTGTACCCTTTCGCAAAATAATTCGGTCAAGACGGTAATGAATCCACTTTGTCGAGTTTCCCAATTTTCCCTCAGCTTGGAAAATTGCTAAGAGCCTCTTTCTGAGTGGACAAAATAAAAGATGGCCGAAGAGTTCAGGCGTTGTTTGCACGGGTTCTTTCCCTTTCATGCCAAAGTTCAAGGCTGCTTAAATCCGAATATGGGCCTGAATTTTGAAGAAAATATTATTTTCCATATTCGATTTTGTTTTTATTGACATAACGGGAGGTTTTAAGCGCTCAGTTCCACTGACCCATGCTCCTGCCATTTAAGAAAACTGGCGAATTTGTGTGGGGCCATTATTTGTTATTTCAAGATAGTTTTACAATTTAAAGATGTTTGTGAGTTTGTTCCAACCTTTCTTTCTTTCTTTCTTTCTTTCTTTCTTCTTTCTTTCTTTCTTTCTTTCTTTCTTTTTTTTTCTTTCTTTCTTTCTTTCTTTCTTTCTTTCTTTCTTTCTTTCTTTCTTTCTTTCTTTCTTTCTTTCTTTCTTTCTTTTTTGGCCTTGTTCCAGAACTTGGGTTTTGTGTGCATATCAGTTTAGCTTAATTGTGTGCAAACTGTTGGTTCTTCGCCTCTTAGGCAGATGGATTTAGACTGGGGGGGGGGGGGAATTGGATCTACTCTTGTACTCCCTCTACACAACACAATCCATGGCATTTTGTTACCACGATTTCACCTCAATACCTATATCATTCATGTTCAGCTTGCACACATCTTTTCTTTATATCGTTCGGCCTCGACATCTTCTACCCTTGTTGATCATGGTAGCTACCGCGTTAGGAAAAGTCTTTCCCGTTATGAGCATTAGATTTCAGGGCCTCTCAATAGCACAAAGCCTTCGCAGTACTGTAGAGACCATGTATTTCCCATACATCATGAATCTCTTCCTCTGACTGGAGAGTTAATACCAACAAAAAGCGGGCTGCAGAAGACAATGCTGTCTTTTACACCTGTCGGAGCTTCCCTCCTAGACTAGCTGTGAGCCAGGGTTAAGAGCCTGGTCTGCCCTACCTTAACATGTAGTTTTAAGGCTGCAAACCCCCCCCCCCCCCCCCCCCCCCCCCCCCCCATCTCTTAACACAGTACGCTCCACTGCCCGACGCTGTTGGCAAATCTCTCCCCCTAAAATAAAATAAAAATGGAAACAATTACCGTACTCCAAAATTACCCTGAGCTCCAAAGCTACGTGGTAAAGATATGTCTGATTACTTACCTATCAAAATGTATCAACGGCATTGACTCAATCATCCCTTTCAACAATCCCTTTCATAACCACGGCAGCAAACTTTCATTGTGGAGACGGCAGCTCATTAACTACACACAAAATGACATTTTCCACACTAACACCCAAACGCCACCTTCAAACGACCATCATTCTCAAACCAGCTTAACATGGCGTCGTGTCTGATTGGCTAGGTGCATAAAGTATTGCAATCGGTCTATTGAACCGTTCTAACATAACACGCGCCCGGCGTTAAGTAATGAAGGTTTTAAACCTAATTCAACAACCGTGACGTTACCCGACGTAACTTTTAACAGTTATTGCTTTGTTTCCTGGCGCGTAAGACGTAAAGGGCGTGGCTGTAATGATTTATTTAGTTGTGTTTTTTGCGTTGCAGACGCCGATGTATGGACTGTCTCTTTTTCATGGTGAATGTTGTTTGTTGTAGTTTCGCTGGCGGAAATAGTCAATTCCCTTGTCTTTGTTGTTATAATGCTGGTTATGATGTCGTTTCGTTTAATTTAATGTCATGTCTGATTTTTGAGAGTACGTCTTCTTTAAACTTGTGAATATGATGTTGATTTATGTGCAATAATGGGTTGTTTAATTGATTGATCGGTTGATCGTAAGCAGACTCAATCTAGATAGTGTTTAATGGTGCTTCAACAACAACAACAATAGAATACCGACGATGAAGAAGAAGAAGAAGAAGAAGAAGAAGAAGAAGAAGAAGAAGAAGAAGAAGAAGAAGAAGAAGAAGAAGAAGAAGAAGAAGAAGAAGAAGAAGAAGAAGAAGAAGAATAATTAAGGATCGTCTGCCAGTCTGATGTAGGTTTAAACGACATAATGGGGTGATGCTGACGACGATGATGATGATGTTGTTGGCGCTTTTAGTGATGAAGGTGGTGGTGATGAAGAATGATTACTGTTGTGATAACACTAATGACGACAGAGACAATAACGATGATGATAGCAATAGTAAGGACGGTGGTGATGACTGTAGTTCTGTTGATGATAATGATGATGATGATGACAACGACGACAGTTAACCATTTCTAAACACAGCAACAGATAACCATGTGGACTTACCGATAAACTCAATGGCCTCCTCGAAGTACTGCTTGAGGTTCTGCTGGCCGCTGTCTGAGGCGGGAATTCTCTTGTAGCGAATGCCTTGCTCATCGTAGTACTGGGGCACATGAGAGGTGACGTTCAGAATATAGCTTATGTTTAAGCTCCTTAGCTGGGCGAGGTCTCTGGCATCCCTTTCATTACCTGGACAAAAGAACCACAAAGTTTAGCAGAAAAACTTGGCAAATTGTGAGAGAGTTACAGCGAATACAACAACCAGAACTTTCCGCAGGATTTTACAGTCGTTGAATGGTGAATTGAGAATCGACATCACGGCACTTGGGACACCCCCCACAAACACGTCCCTATCTTAAACAGCAAGCGAAGACATCTAATTCCGATGGCACCAGTTACTGTCTGATTGTATATCCGTCTCGACTTTCGTCCTAGTGTTGAGCGCCGGCCAGATCCCCTTGTAACTCCTCGCAGCGCCATTCTCCTCAAACCGTAATGATCTGTCTGTGCCTCCGCACTGTTCAATCGCTCCCAAATGAGCCATCAGAACAGCCAGCTTGTCATAAATCAGTTCACCACCAAGCGGCGCAGAACCGGCCAGTCTATCTGCCTACTTATTTCCTAACACACCAGCATTCTTGGAGAAAATATCCTAAGAATACAAACTACCTGGAACATGTGAAGTGAATGTTGAGAAGAAAAAGAAGAAGAGGGAACAGAAAAAAAAAATATTTAATAAAAAATGCCTATGAAGTCGGTACAGCGACTGAACATAAGTTTAAAAAACTAACATTATGTATATACGTGTGTGTGTGAGCAGATTTGTGTGTATGTACGCGTGTGTGTGAATGTGTGCGTATGTGCGTGTGTGTGAATATATGCGTGTATGTGCGCGTGTATAAATGTGTGTGTATGTGTGCGTGTAAATGATCGTCTGTGTATGTGCGTAATTGTGAATGTGGGTATTGTGTGGGTGTGTGAAAATGTGTGCCTGGTGCTAGATCCATATGGATTTTACATCTAGTGGGCACAAAATCATGCTGACCGCTTTTACTTCCCATGCTATGTTCCTTAGCTTGGCTCGACCTGGGAGCCACGGCCAGGTTTAAGGTTCTACTTCTTGCTTTTCTGACCGCCTCGTCCATAGGTGATAATACTGTTGTAGAGCTTCTTTTATCTTTCCATATTGATTTGAGGTAAAACTTGAGTCAGTCGCTCTATTTACACAGTGATACACACTAGCTCACTTCTGATTGGTCGACCTTCAGCCTAGCTCACTTCTGATTGGAAGTAACCTTGAGCCACGCGTCCTTGTCTCAAGGTTACAGGGGTGTTCCGCAATGCCGTTGAAATCGCGTGTTGTATATTTCAGCATGCCAGCGCTTTTAACATTCGAAAAACATCTACAAACTGGGTCTTACACAAAACCCCTTTAGAGAGTGACGAAACCTATGTCACAGTCACTCTCTTTCTTGGAATAAAAACGTATATGCAAGGTAATACATAAAGCAAACAACAGAGCGGCACACCCGTAACCTCCAGCTAGGTAAGCCAGTCCAACTAAGTTATGAATGGATAACTTTGGGAAGACTAACGTTCGTTTAAATTGTTTGTGATCTACCCTGTGCTCTACGCCCCTCTCCTCTTTTAGTGTACGCCTTGTGTGGCATGGTGCCACACCATATTCTTTCTAAGGTGGCAAGCTATTTGATTTGCTGTCTTTATACGTAATTTAGACCTTGTTCTGTTCCGACCTTTTCTCTTATGACCTCATGTTTGATTTCGACTTTTAGGGTCACTCCTGTAGCCTTTCTCATACATCTTATTTCCATTACTAGCCAAAAAAGATGACCTTATAGATACCGGTCAATCACCCATGCTCCGCCTCCACTTAATGAATTATCAAAAGACGTGGTCTCCTTGTAGCATCGGGCAGGGTGCTTACTCAAATTCACGCACGTGACATGCACGACTGGCTAATGACTGCTCGTGCACAAACTTCCCACATTATCAATGTCCATTCAATTAATCATTTCCCCTCGAAAGTGTCGTCCACTGCTCCGTGGCTCCATTATGGTCAGGGCCAGCACGCGTTTGTGGGCATGAATCAGATCACTGGAGCTGAGACAACCCCCGTCCTCTGTGGTCAGACATAATAGGATAATGACCCGTGTGTCACCGGTACATAGTTACAGTGGGTGGCTTTGGCTTGAAGAATCGGTTTTGTTTCAAAAATGGTGTTAGTAAGGAGAGGTAAGGAGGAGCGGTTGACAGAAGGGTTAAGAACGCAAGGTTTTCGCGTGGAAGACCCGGGTACGAATTCTCGAAAAGGTTGGGGATTTTCCTCTCGGAGAAAATAAATATAATCCTTACCTGCACAGTCCATGACAACAGCACTACTAAATCCTCAGGATACAAGCCCTCCCCCCACCCATCCCCTTTCCGCCTACCCCGTATATACCTATATACTGGTAAATTCTGACAGTAATGTGAGATTTGTGTGTGTGTGTGTGTTAAAGAGAGTTGTGGCCGCCGTGATAGGAAAATGGCCTGTTGTGCCAGTTCCTAAGATTTTTACGTATACATCCGTTCTAGTGACTTATTTTTTTGCAGTTGGTTGTTCCTTGCTTGTGAGTCTGTGTGTGTGTGTGTGGGGGGGGGGGGTGCGGGTGGGTATATTCTTGGGTAAAAGTAAAGTTAGTCCTCCCATTTACATAGTGCTACATACTACCTCATTTCTGATTGATCGACCTTTAGCCTAGCGCATTTCTGATTGGTCGACCTTGTCCTTAACACAATGTTACGGGGGTTTCCGTAATGCCGTCGATATCATGTGTTGTATATTTCAGCACGCTAGCGCTTTTAACACTCCTAAAACATGGACAAACTGGGTCTAACACCCCCCCCCCCCCCCAGAGGGAGCTACAACCTATGTCACAGGCATTATCTTTCTCGGAAGAAAAACGAAAATGCAAGACAAGCCAGAAAGCAAACAACAGAGCGGCACATCCGTAACCTCCAGGAAAGTTGACTAGTGCAACAAAGTTATCAATGTAACGTGGCCTACTTTCTCTGGGGAGACCATCGTATTACTAACCCTATTCTTGTTTTTACCACAATGGGGCCCGGAGCGAACACGGGGAGATCGTAAGTTGAGGAGAAGGTGAATTCAAAGATGATATAGACAAGGGCAGACAATTTTTACACAGCAATGATAACAGAACCAAGGGCACTTACCGAGATACAGGAACGGAAGTATCTGCGAAGCTGTTGCAGCCTCTATTTCCGGTTCCTGGACGCCATTGGTTGGACTATAGAGAAGGGGCTTGTGAACCTCGATGGCTTTACTGCTACACCGACACAAGGCTTCATGGTTGATGCTGAAACTTTTGAATCCGCCTGGGGAGAAAACCAATACATAAATGACCTTTCATTCATTAAGTTAAAAAAAAAGGACTTTTAGGCATGCATGTTAGGCATCTAGGACTAAGCCTATATTGTATAGACCAATCGGCACTGAGTGTGAGATATGACCGCCTTTACTTCCCAGGACTTTACCTGGTAACCATTTCTGGCTGGGTTTTCTTTGAAGTTAAAGTCATTTCTGAAAAAAAGTCAGGCTTCGTCTGGACCCGAACCCACGACCTTCCGATCTGGGTTCTTCTCCTTGCTTGGATTCTGGGGCTCAGTTTGCCTGGGTAGGCGTGGTTGGGGGGTGAGGGAGGGGAATGTCGTAAGAGACAACATTTACGGGTTTGCAGGAATAGGATGTGTTAGGTCGAAAGGCGCAACAGCCTGTCTAGAAAGGAACACAACAAAGAAAATATAATGGGATTCACAGAGCATTGATTTGAAGTCAATGTTACTGTATGGAATAGAATTATGCAGAACGACATACACAGCGAATAATAAACTACAGTCAGTCAGTCACTCGAGCTGGTGCTAAACATAGGGATGTAAACTGTGTGACATAATCATTATTGTGAAGGTTTGCGAGACAACTGTATCAATTATTGTAACATTTCTCTCTCTCTCCTCTCTCTCTCTCTCTCTCTCTCTCTCTCTCTCTCTCTCTATATATATATATATATATATATATATATATATATATATATATATATATATATATATATATATATCACGCACACACACACACACACCATTTATCTCACACTAACCTTCCCTTAATAATCTTTCCTCCACACCAGCCTTCTCTCTCTCTCTCTCTCTCTCTCTCTCTCTCTCTCTCTCTCTCTCTCTGTGTCCCCCCCCCTTTTCCCCATTAGAACCATGTATTTACTTGTATGGCTGCTCGTACATCTTCCCGTCAAACGCAAAATATTTCTTGTCAGTCTGCACAACACCTCTCACACCCCTCCTCTCTCTCTCTTTCTCTCTCTCTCTCTCTCTCTTTCTTTCTTCCTCATCGCCCAGACCTCATATCTCGCTTTTTCCATCCCCCCCCCCCCCCCCCGGTTATTAATCCTGCCCTGCTTTTCGTCCGCAATTCTTTTCTATCCCTTATCCTCTTCTCATTCACCTTCCATGCAACAAGTTTCTCCGTGTTTCCGTTATCCTGCCTCTCTCCTCCTTCCACACATGCACATAAATACACACGCGCGCGCACACACATATACACACACACACGCACACATACACACACAAATGCATACAAACACGCACGCACAACTATCGCGAACCACATAAAACATGCAGCCTTGGCAACTTTCAGCTACCTTCAGTCTGCCTAATATTCACCACCATCAAAGTACACAGGCCAAGATGATGCGAGAGCAGATCTCAGCGATGGCGAAGTGGCGTCCCGCTACACGATCTATTTACACGTGCGTAAATAGATTGGGCGATCACATTTATAGATCGTTGGATGACTCACGCTGTCGACGTCACATGTACTCTTAGCCTGCCGCAGTGCTTGCCTGGGAAGATTTGTGGCGTCAGGTAGTTTCATGCGCGCTTTGGGGGTGCAGGGATGAATGGTTTGTCTTGTCTAGTTTTGGGGAAGCAGGGGTGCAAGGTTTCTCTTGTATAGTTTCGGGGATGCAGGGGTGCAAGGTTTCTCTTGTATAGTTTCGGGGATGCAGGGATTCTTCTGTATAGTTTCAGGCATGAAGGGATTCGCGGTATTTTTTTTCTTTATATTAAAGGTATATAGAAATTTGCAGTTTTTTTTTTCTATAGTTTTGGGATGCAGGGATGCAGTTTCTTTTTTTTTATAATTTTGGGTACAGGGTTAGGCCGTTTCTTTTCTATGGTTTTGGATACAGGGGTGCGCAGTGTCTTTTCTATAGTTTTACATACAGAAATACGCAGTTTTCAGGGATGCAGGGATGTACGGTGTATAGTTCTGGAAAGCGTGAGGGGTCTGGAGGTCTGGAGGGGGTTTTGGATGCTGAACAAAGTGTTCGTGATATGGCGCTGGGTAGAAATTATGATAACATTACACTATAAGATTTAGCGCATTTAATGTCAGGCAATATCTACAGATCTGGCTTTTTTGTGTTCAGACTGTTGGTTCCTCGCCTCTCTGGCAGATGACTCCGATTTTCAAGGAAACATCCATAATTAGTAGTCTTTTATGACATGCTTGTCAGAGGGCAGTGGATCGCTTCTCTGTATCCCCTTCTTTCATCCCGCACCCAGTGGGACCCCAGGCTCCCCCCCCCCTCCTCACCGGGGAAGGTTATGATTCAGGACAGCAGATAGCCCTGTCTAACAGAGATCCTTCTTTGGCCACAATCTCTACCCTCCCCTCCCCCCAGACTGCAGGTTACCCCTGGCTGGTGAAGTTACAGGGGCTGTAGGTTCTGGTTGTTTTCCACCTCTGGACTTAGTCTTGTTTCAGAACCTGAGTGTTGCGTGCACATCGGTTTTTCGTATCTGACTTAATAGTATGCAGACTGTTAGTTCCTTGCCTCTCAGGCAGACGCACTTCGACATCAGAGGAAGCCCCTTACTAGTCGACTCTTACAGCATGCTTGTTGCTTTCGCTAGATACTTTTACGTTCAGTAGTTTGCATAGCTGCTGCCTAATCGCCGGCAGCTAGAGTAGAACCAGGTATCTCGGAATTACGAAGCTCGTTCTTAACGCCTAAGCCGCAGACGCCGACCTAATTAATAAGAGAGAGAGAGAGAGAGAGAGAGAGAGAGAGAGAGAGAGAGAGAAAGAGAGAGAGGTACATACAAACTATAACAGAAAGGGAACAAGAAGAAGTAGCAGTGATTCTAGCAGCAGTGGTGGTGGTGGTAGTAGCAGTGGTGGTGGTAGTAGCAGTGGTGGTGGTAGTAGCAGTGGTGGTGGTAGTAGCAGTGGTGGTGGTAGCAGCAGTGGTGGTGGTAGTAGTAGCAGTATAAATGCTTGTATAGATCAATCGGCAGTCGTTGAATAATGTGGTAAACATCTAGCAGGCCACCTTTATTTCCCATGACATTACTTGGGCACCCAGTTTAGGATGGGTTGACTTGTTGGAACCAGCATTAAGAATTCCATAAAACGTGAACAACAAATGGAAAATACGATGGCTTGATTAAACGCGGGGTGGAGGTACAATGGCGGCATGCGAGGGATCTTCTTGGGGAAAATGCGGAAAAAGCACATGCGAAGGAAAAGAGAGAGAGAGCGCGCATAGAACTACAGAGAGAGAGAGAGAGAGAGAGAGAGAGAGAGTGAGAGAGAGAGAAAGAGAGAGGGAAAGAGAGAGGGAAAGAGAGAGGGAAAGAGAGAGGGAAAGAGAGAAAGAGAGAGAAAGAGAGAACGAGAGAGAGAGAAAGAGAGAGCGAGAGAGAGAGAGAAAGAGAGAGAGAGCGAGAGAGAGAAAGAGAGAGAAAAAGAGAGAGAGAAATCGAGAGAGAGTTAGAGAGAGAAAGAGTGAGAAAGAGAGAGAGAAAGAGAGAGAGCGAGAGATAGAAAGGGAGAGAAAGAGGAAGAGAGAGAGGGGGAGAGAGAGGTTAGGGAGTGAGTGTCGGAGAGAGGGAGAAACAGGCACTGAGGGGGATACTATGATGAGGAAAAAGATCACAAAAGGAAAAAGGAAGCATAGATACACTCACAGAAGGGCCTTTTTTCAACGACTTCCTCAACAGAAAGCAACATAGCAACATGCAACATACAACAATTTTCCGTCTACGAACAGGACACTGCGGGCATAACTACCACACGCACAAAATAAAGATTGTACAGTCCCCACAGTGTGCGTGTCAAACAGGACCACAAACACCTGAGCACATTCTGCAGACCTGCCCACTCTACATACAACTTCGAAAAGAAACGTGGCCCCAAGAGCAAAGTGTGCAGAGCAAGCTATGGGGAACCATACAGGACCTGCTACTGACATGCGAGTTCATAGAAACTACCCACATGATTGTTTGATCTGAGCATACGAAACAGAACGCAAGGAAGACAACGCCTTCAGGGGTTAAGGGGCGTAGAGGGACAGAACTATGGTTTATAAACCAATCGATACTCTGTGTGGTGGTCAACATCACGCCGGACGCCTTGACTTTCCAGGACTTTACCTGGTACCCATTTAAGGCCGGATCGATCTGGGAGCCAAGGTCAATTTTTTGAAACGTCCGTTTCCGACAGGACACGAATCCATGACCTTTCCCTTCACAGGCCAGCGGCTAGCAACTACACCATGGCGACTCCCAAAGATAGAAAGGGACAACGATAAAAACACCAAGAGAGAAAAGAGATGGACGAAAGGAGGGAAACAGAAAAGTTGAAAGCTGAAGAAAGAGAAAGAGAAAGGGATACGAGGAGAAAAGAAAGGCGCAGAGACAGACATACAGTCATAGAATGGAGAGAAGGACCAATGACCTTTTATAAAGAGAAAGACACCACAGGGTGAAAGAATGTTATAGTGTTCCCATTTCACTCGAAGCTCCCAGAAAAACATGACATCATCCTACTGTTTTTCTTTTGAACTGACCCAGACACGTCGTTTGATCTAACTAGGTCAGCCAAGTAAGCGCTAGGAAACTAGCACAGGGTTCTTTCTTTCTTTGCCTTCTGTTCTGACAACAACAACAACAAATGACAGAAGTAGTATAAATACTGGCCTATTAGTTAGAAGGTTGCACTCTGGTTCAGTTGACCCAAGTTCTAATCCCATATAAGGGTACATATTTTGTTTTTCTGTCGGGTGTGAAAACTCCTAACCTGTACAGTTTGTGGCGACAGCACCTGCTCAAAATTCTTAAGCTACACCGCCTTAATAAAGGAGCCTTTCCCACGCCTTGATGCGTATTGGGCACATAGGGCTAGACCTATATTTTACAGACCAACCAGCATTCGATGGGTGACCTTTCATAGGGGTATTTTTTAGTGCTATAGAACGAGTGTATACGCTAATCAGCAATCAACAGGTTCTGTGGTCTAG